TACACCAGAAATTAACATAACATTGTAAACCAACTATATTTCAATTTAAAAAAGAAATGAGTAAACTGTTAAAATGCTAATATATTAAATTGAGAAATTACTGGGGGAGGAAACTACTGAACTGAAGTGTTTATATTTTAAATACTTTCATTCACACCTAAGAAAATAAAACTGTTTCAAAGAATGTCTTAGATGGAAACAATCCTAAGCTCACAACTCTGCCTAGAATTGGATAGGTACTACATCTCTCCTCTTCCATCTCTCAGCATCCCTCATGTACTTACTGGAAAAAAAAAAAAAAAAAAAAGACTCCGTAGAGCATGGGACATCTTAGGATTTTTTCCTATCACTTTAGTGAGATTCACATTGCTTTACCCAAAAGCTCTAGATAAAATGAAAATCTGAAAAGTGTATTTAGTAAAAGAATGAAAATGGCAATAAACTCCATTTAAATAGAAAATTTTAATTGCTTTGAGTTTATATTTAGATTTCCAGTCAGATTCATGGATATGGAAAAAGGTCTAAATGTCTGTTTTTGGAAAGCATCAAATCACATCCTACACCTGATGTTCAGAAAGAAAATCAATTAAGATTTTTTATTGGAAGGAAACATGGGGATTAGGGGGTAGGAAAAAAATGCACCAGGAATTTATACTCTATTACCTTCAATCATTTTGATGCAAGTCATTCATACCACCACCACGCTAACAAGACATCCAATTTACTAAACAATGAATACTGAAAATACATTTAAAAGGTACAAATGACTGTCCAAAGAATGACACTAAAAAATATTAAGTAACAGCTCTACCTCAAGATAAGCCTCACCATTAAAGAGCTTTAATGAAGAGAGCCTTCAAAGGCTAAATCAGGAGGCATTGATTAGATTGCCTCTAACTTTGTGTTTTGACACCTTCGTCTTTCCTGGCATTATATTGTCTCTGTGCATCTTACAAAGGAAGCATTTTACTAGGCCCACACAAGAACAGGGGACAGCAATGCTTATGAAAGAGACTGTCAAGGGTGCGAGCCAAAATGGGTCTCATTTGGATTTCAAGTGAAGAAAACTCCTAATGCATTTCATTACAATGTAAGCGAACCTCTGAAAAGAAGGATGGATTGGGATTCTCATCCCTATTAATTTATTGAAATGGATTCAGTTTTTTTCTTGTATATCAAGAGAGACCATGTGTTTCAGGCAAGGTAACAATATTATAGTCCCAATAACCAAATATGCTATGATTCAGTATGCCCTTCTGTGAGATAAAGAGGATGTAATTTTCCCAATCATTGAGATTTGAGTTTAAAAATAAATCCTACAAAAGCATGGCAACAAATAAATATTCTTTGTTACTATCAGTTTTAAAGATATGATCAAGCTACTATACAACACAGGGATTGAGTCGGTCTTTGTTACCAGAGCAGCCTTTTTACCATTCGAAATCCTATTTTTTTCCCTTACTACTGTCATGCACATATTGACTTTGTATTTCATTGAGGAATTGTGTGCATGATGTAATTAGGATAACACCAATGAAAGTCATATTTTATTAAAAGATAGTGAAAAGCGAATGAGACAAAATCACAGCATTTTAAGCACTGTACTGTTAACAGTATATACATACCTTCCTTCCTAAGAATGTTCTAGTCATCAAGGCACCTGTTAGGTAATTTATGATTTAAAAAAAAAAAGTGCTGATATTTGGCTGACGCTCCAACTTTATTAAAATGATACACCATTGGAAATATTTCAATCCTTAACCACGGAGAAATGCCATGATCTAATGCTCTTAGACATCCTAAATAATTTCATAAATCCACAGGATTACAAATATAAGACATATGCTCTCATTGCTCTTTAACACCATTAACATTTAGAAATGATTGATTATGTTATACCAATAATATTCAGTGAATTCAAAGCTGATCTATTTTTTATGTAAATCATACAACCTGCTAGTCAAATTAAAGGTTAAATATACATAAAGTCTTAGAATAAAATACAGATAATCTTTCACATAGAACACAGACCCGCGATATACATACTCAAATGTAATAGGAACCACGAATTCCCAGGTTGCTTACTAATTAAATCCAGAAAAACAGAATGAGCATGTCCTCCTTATGTTGTTATACATTTTATTCCAAATGGGAATAATACATCCACAGCTAAGGAGAATTGCAAAATACTGCTAGAAAACACAATTGGAAATAAATGCACATTTATAAACTTGGAAAGAATCCTCCATAAACAAATTCATATTCATCATGTAAATTTTCTTAAGGGTGTGACTATAAAGTAGGTGCAGTAAGAATACATATAAACCAAATATTCAGCATGTGTACACACATGTTGCTGTATGTATGTCTGGAGATATTCTTCAAGCCAACAGAAAACTATATACAAAAATTCTAACAGCAAATCTCAATTAACTTCAGTATCTGATTATTTTTTGTAAGAAAGTTTACACATCTCCCTGTAATACATATAATACAGGAATTTTTTGATGAATTGTAATTAAATTAGAATGATGCATGTTTCTTATTTTTATCTTGACAGTTCATGTATTCTCAAGCAGAGCCTATTACACACAAATATACAGCAGGTTACTTGTTGAATAATGTATTTCAAGTACTTAAAATTACTGGGGATTTGCCTAAAATCTACATGTGAACATATATTTTGGCCTTAATTTTCATCACTTCATTTCTTCAATTGAGTGTATTTTATAATCTACTAGCAAAGCAGTTAATACCAGCCTTTTTTCAGGACATAACAAAGGTAATAATACCATCTTTATGATATAAACTTTATGACACTCTGAATAAAACTGACAAGTATAAAATTTGATCCATAAAATAAGTGATATACTTATGTTAATTCACCTTTTTAAAGATATTATGTGTTGCTCCGTTTTTTTGACAAGGCTTCCATTCATACTAGAGACATGTTGAAAAACACTATATTTTCTCTCAATAAGGAAAATCACTTTACCCACTATCATGCTTGTTCTGTCTCAATAAAAAATCAATCATCAAATGCTTGCTTCCAAGTTTTACTTGTTAAACTGCCAATTTATGCATACAGTTTGGCTCAGCAGAATTTCACTCAGCACCATTTCTTTCATTATTATAATTTTGTACATCTCGCAAAATGTCTTAAACTCGGGGTAGGGGAAGTCACGAAACTTTATATGCGCTCCTATGCAGCACTTGACGTTATAATTGAAATATAGAGGTAAGATGTAGTTCCAAACCATTTTTAAAGAAAAAGAAAAACTATATCTTTCTGTGATTTTTCAGAGTAATAAAGGCCTGATTGATCCCACTGACTAAGGCAATTGAATTGCTTGTCTAAATGGTAGCAACGTCAATGTCAGATATGTGGTTATCTTTTCATCTGGGCCCATTCTTGAATGTAAAAATCAGATGTTTGAAGGACATTTCACTGACCTGTTATGGCCTCTACAACTCTCAAACACAATACTAGTATTCCTTATGTAAGTGCCACATTTTGGATAAAAACCGTTTCATCAACGATGCCTTTGCGACATCTGGCGGTCCTTAGGATATTTAAAAATTACTTTTTGTTTTTCCAAATCTATCGGTACTTGAAATTCCAGACCAAAAGCCTTTGATACCCCCTAGCGGGGGCACAAAAGCACTCTGGCCTGTAAGCTAGGACGTGGACTACCAAGAATCCATATGGTGCAAAAGGTCACAAATCTTGAGATGTGGTGACATCATGACAATAAGACACTTTCAAGACAGAAGCTGACCCATTTTGAATATAAAAAGGACCCTGATCACATGTTCCCACACATTTAAAACTATAGAGAAGAAAGAAATATGCTAAGTGCTCTACGCAGAAGCTGAACGCTGGTGTTTGAGGGTACCTATAGCTCTCAGACTTAAGGAATACTACCCAGAGATTACTGGCAAGACTGTTTTAAATGATCTAAGAGTCCTGGTTTTTTATGTTATAAGTTGATGCTCAGCAAATGTTAATAAGCAGAGGACAAGTGGCTGAATCACAGAATGTATGTTTCTATGCAATCTTCAGTTCCTTTTTAAATTATTAATCCAGCCATAGTGAAGGTTGTTCTACATGCTTCTGCCTTTATTTGTATCTCCAGCAAAGCATGGAACCTGAATATTATTTTACGTACAAGAAAAAACTGCCCTCTGGATTTTTATTCTTGTTTTATAGGTAATTCAGTATGGGGATGGGGGAATAAAATCTCATTTCCACCCCTTCATCACACTCTCTACAGGTATATTTGTTGTCCACATTGAGAAATCATGACTTTGCTAATTCTTTATCAGCAGGAGAAAATTACATGTAATATACAGTTGATTTTTCATTTGTTCTGAGTCTTGGTCAAGTAGCACACTTGACAGCAATACGATCAAATTCAAATGTACTGTGTTTATTATCCATTTTCAACTTTCTTTTCAAATATTTGTCTGAAAATCTATATTATTTTGGCTATAAAATAATACTTTTAAGAGGTTTCCCAGAGAAAAGAATTAATGTTTTCCAGATTTTGTTTTATAACCAATATTTAACATGTATCTCATCTCTGATTTTTTCAAATGATTAATAGTTTATAGGCAGTCACAGTAATATAGTGGATTCACTACTCCCAACACAGTACTAAGACTTATTATATTTTTGTATATATTACTGAGCTACATTCAAAGATATTTTTGTTTCAGAATTGAATCAATTCATTTTCATTTATAAAGAGCATATAAAAACTATCCCTGTAGAAATGAGTTTGAATTTACATGTAATTTTTTTAAAAATTCATGTATATTAAGAAATTATCAGATGTCTTCCATTAGTTATATATATACTGCTCTTAGGGTGGCAGTAAGTTCCTTTGATAGTATTTATAGATTGAAATTTAAAGGATATAGATACTTATCTTTTAAAATTAATCCATGTTCTCTACTTTAACAATACAGGATCATATAGCACAATAAAGTAAATAGAGATTGATAATGCATTCTCTTGTCATTGTTTAAAAGAATCTTAAGTAGTGTGATATAAAAAAATGCCAATATGCATTATTTTAAAAAATAATTAGAGGAAGAAATTAAAATGATCACTATTTTATTTGCTAATATTTTAGATTATAAGAGGTGGTTTGATAAATAATAAAGTAAAAACTATAATGAGATATATTGAGTAAAATTAGTGGCATTTAATCAAATACCACTCTTTGCCCTAAATGCACTTTCTATAATAAAATAAACATTAGGATGGATGTAAAAAAAAAAAAAAAAAAAAAAGACTGACATACCTTTACAATGCTATGGCTTAAACCTTTTCAAATGTTAAAGAAATAATTTTGATCAAGAATAATACCAAATATTCAAACTTCCTACATATAATTAGATATGAAACTAGCAAAATATGTTTCAAATACAACTACACATAAAGATATGAAGAAGTAAAGTCATAATTCTACAGTAAATTTTATTATTTTCTTGAGTCTGTCTTTTGGAAATAGATTTATAGGGTGTTACAGGGAAATTTTATTATGCAACTTCCCAGGGTCACACCAAGAATTATTAAGATAAATCCTGCCCTCAACTCTCAATACAAAGAAATGGAAAATTTGCCACATTATCTAAGTATTTATTACAGTTATTTTGTTTTGTGAAGGCCATGTTGGAAGAAGGAAAAAGGAAGACAGACACAGGATTAAGATAAATGAGAAAATTAAACGAAAATAAGCAAACAACTAAAGGTAAATGATGCTAGATATGGAAGGCACTGAAGGAGATCCAACACAAGCGTAATTGGTACCTCTGGGGAAAAAAAAATAAGCAAATGAAATGGGGAAAATATCCGAAGATATAATTTAAGAAAACTTACCAGAAATAAAGTAAAATTTGAATATGTAGAATGAAAGGACACATTTCCTTGGGAAACTGACAGAATGATAAATACCAAGCTGGTGAGAGAACAGATCTTCAAAGATGAAAAAACAACTATTTTGTCTTTCAGGTAAAAACATCAAGTTACTAAAGAAGGACAAGATAGGCTGGCTCGAAAGCTATCTGCAGAAACAGTGGAGTTATGGCTACAATGTCTTCTGAGAAACAAAGCATTACCCTACTAGTATATACTCAGTCAGGCTGTCATTCAAGAATAAAGACAACATACAAAGAATATTCAAACATGCAATGTTCAAGAAAGACAACTATTATGATCCTATCTTTAATAAACTACTGAAGACTGAATTTCATCTGTGAGATAAATGAGGAAAATATGGCAAAAGGATGACAAAAAGAATTGAATCCATTTGAATGTACAACCAATATTAAAAAATTATGAGAATTATAGTTAAGGAACAGAATGCAAATGTTAAAACCAATACAACTTAAAAAAATATGAGCAAAACTTTCTCAACAGGAACTGAGGAAAAGGAATGAACTTATGGTGGGTACATTAATTTTCTCATCTTCTAACTGGAAGGTCAAAAGAGACCTCCTTTAATGAACAAGTATATTTAAAGTTATAACTATAAATTAAAAAAGAACCAAGACAAATAACATATTCAATTAAAACTATGTGGTAAAGCATAGGGAAGTTAGAGAAGAAAGAAGGGAAAATGTTGAAGATAACTAATTTTGTCATTATTCATTGTGGGGATTTAATAGATAATATGTGCTTAAGTAATTTATGTAAAGTTATGAATAGTCATTAGAAGAACTAATAGCAGAAAACAACTACTTGTTGGGGGAAGCTGAGTGTCTGGAGGATATGAGAGGGCCGCACTATTTACCTATTTGAGAATTCTGATTTTTGAACTGCATCTGTAGCTTCACTTATGCAAAGTAAGTACTTTTTAAAAGATGAAACTATCCAACGTAACTTCAATAAGATTCTTAAAAACAAAATACAAATGTGATCATGTTGGTCCCTGCACCCATGCTCACACACTGAAACATTCTTCATTTAAGGTGCCAAAACCTTAAAACACTTTACAACCTGGGGTACTTTCTGTCTACGACCCCAAAGAGAACGGCTCTCCACCATGTATGCTTTATTCCTTTCACTCTGAACTCTTCTCAGTTTCTTAAAATTTCTGTTCTTCCTCTTGTCACCAGGCCTTACCTCTCTAATGCATACAGTCCATTAAGCCCCAGTTGCACTTCAGTGTGGGTAAGTACACTGCAGAGTTAGATAACCTTGAGGAAATTAGTGTTTCCCACAGGAAGTGATACTAAACCTGAGACCAGTGAATGAATGGAATTTAGCAGATTGAAGGAGCCAGTGAAAATTTGTGTAAAATAAGAAGGCACCAAGCAAAAGGAAGGAAAGCCTGGCAGTGAAAGAAGGCAACTATTTTGGAGGAACTGAATGGAATGTGATTGACTCATGTTCAGTGAATATTAAGGGGATAATGCATTCAAACTAGGTTGAGTTTCATCCCAGTAGTACCAATAATGACTTTGAATATGACTTTAAATAATGATTTTCTATGCTACAAATCACACAAAATAAAATACAGTCAGCTCTACTATTATATATCTAAGGTCTTGAACAACTTTTGATATAGAATAGGCACAGGACAAATATTTGTTGAATTAATGAAATTTGAACAGAATTTAAGAAATGGTCACATTATGATCAGATTATTTCAAAATTTGGAGGTAACCAAGTGAAGACCAATAAATCCCACCTTTATATTAGCAACTGACGGAGTGCTTTGTTGACAGTGTCCACATTATTTTTTAAAAAGGAGTGTACTTTAAAATGCAGAGTTCTGGGTCTGGAGAAAACAGTAAATCCACTGGATCTCCCACAATGATACAACTAAAGATACTGAACAAAATTTTAAAAAACAAACAAAATGAAACAAAACACGATTCAAGGACCATGGAAAGTAAGTAACAGAAGGCAGATTAGGGAAGGAAGTTTAAACTAGGATAAAGACCAACAATATAGTGGCAGTAAACTTAAGTTTCTTCCCCCTCCTTTTTGACCCTAAGGTAGGTTGAATCAAGAACTCTGTAGCAGATGCAATCAACAAAAATTCATAGACAAACCTATCCTCCTGGCCAGAGGATGGGAGAGAAAAGTCCCAGTGAGCCAGAGAGTTGAACATATTCCTGTTTTTTCCTCCTTTTTCGCTCTTCCAGTCCTGCTCTGTAGCCAGTTCTAGTCACCCACCTGCATTGCCATGGTAGCAATAGAATAAGTACCTAGGACCTGGGGAATAAAATCTGTCCTTCTAGATAGAGGAACCAGGAAAAGAGATCCCTATTGTGCAAGAGTATTGAGGGAAATTCCACCTCCTTTATTTCTTGCCACTTTACCCCAAGGTCGGTGCCAGGAATGAATTGCTGCATGACAGTGAGAGAGACTTACACTCTGAGAGAACTCAACTTTTCTGGTCAGAGAATAAGGAGAGTAGAGGGGGTTACTCCCTGAGAGAAGAGGACATGAGTAGGGGATCCCTAATTTTGTACATAAATCAGTTGAAGTCTCAGGCTCACTTACATGTTACGCATGCAGAGAACTTACGCAAAGAAGCATAGCAAAGGCTTCAAGATCTGAACATTGCTAAAGTCCAGGACCATTTCCTGAATGGCTCATGTGAGGGGCAGAACCTGAAAAGTGAACTGACACTAAGACTACCAGTCACAGAAGGTGAGACAGAACTTGCAGCTGAATGTAACTGGTTTGATTGCTTGCTAAAAAACAAAAAGCAAAACAAACTGACATTCTCCGGAGGATGACAACAGGACTCACAGCTTCACAATAGTACTAATGTCCAAGATATAATCCAAAATCACTCAACCTAACAAGACCAACTCACAATAAAAAAAGAGAATCAATACATGCAAAACCTTAGATGACCCAGATGCTAGAATTATGAAAGAATTTAAAGCAGCTATTAAAACAATGCTTTATGAAGGAAAAGTAAATACTCCTAAAACAATTGGTAAGACTGAAATTCCCAGCAGAGAAAAATATTACCTGAAATAGAAATTTCACAGGAATAGCTCCAAAGAAATTTACAGATGAGAGAAGGTAATTGTGGTAGGCTGAATAATGTTCCCTTTGTATGTCCATAGCCTTAACTCAGAACCTGTGAATGTTATTTTACATGGCAAAAGAGACTGCAGACAAGATTAAACCAACAACTTTGAGATGAGGAGATTATCCTGGATTATCTGAGTGGGCCTAATATAATTACGGAGGTTACTATAAGGAGGATGCGGGAGCTCAGAGAAAATGTGATGTGATAAAAAGCAGAGATTGCAGTGATGTGCTTTGAAGACAGATAAATGGCTAATGATGAAAGGGTTGATTCATCAGGAAGAAACAATGATCCTAAATGTGAATGTTCCTAACAACTAAATTCTAAAACACCTGAAGCAAAATCTGGCAGAACTAACAGGAGAAATAGACATAGAATACATAGATAAAACAAGTCATTAAGGATATAGTAGATTGGAAAACCTGAACCAACATGACCTAACTCACCTTTATCGAACCCAACAACAGGAGAATACACACTTATTTCTAACGCACATGAAACATTCAGTAAGATAAGCCATCTTCTGGGGTATGAAACAAAATTTAAGATACTTGAAAGAAAATCATACAAAAAAATGTTCTCTGACCAAACAGAACTGAAGTAGAAATCAGTAATGTAAGAATATCTGGAAAATCCCCAAAAACATTTAAAATTTTAAAGATAAATAATTCATGGCTCAAAGAGAAATTCTCAAGGGCAATTTTAAAATATTTTAATTAAATGAAACTGAAAATGCATCAAAATTTGTGGGATACAGCTAAAGCAATGCTTAGTGGGAAATTTATAGCATTAAATGCTTGTAGCTAAAAAGATAAAAGACCTCTAACTGACAATCTAAGCTATCACCATAGAAATTAGAAAAAGAAAAGCACAATAAAAGGAAAGAAGTAATAAAACTAAGAGGAGAAAACATTAAAATTGAACACAGAAAAAAATAAATAAATAAAATCAAAAGTTATTCTTTAAAAAGATCAACAAAATTAATAAACTTCCACTGATTCATACCTATGTGAGAGAGAATTTACTACTAACAGAAATTAAAAGGAAAACATCACTACATATCCTATAAGCATTAGAAGAATAATAAAGGAATACTACAAACAACTGCATGTACATCAATTTGACCGTTTAGATGAAATGGACCAAGTTCTTGGAACACAACCACAACAACTCATTCGTGGAGAAACAGGTAACAGGCAACCTCTTACAGAATTCTGAAGAAGAGAAACTACTTCTCAACTCTATGAAAACTACTTTACCTAAGTACTAAAAACAAGGGGTGTTAGACACCATAAGAAAACAACAGGCCAGTATCTCTCACAAACAGACAGAAAAATCTTCAGTAAAATATTAACAAATGGAATAAAGTGATATGTAAAAAAGATAATAAATCACTAACAACTGGAGATTGTCCCCAGAATACAAGCATGGTTCAACATTTGAAAATCATTTAATATAACTCACTCTATTAACAAGCTTAAAAAGAAAAAAAATCACATAATCATATCAATAGATGCAGGGAAAGAATTTGACAAACTCAACATTCCTTCATTAAAAAAAAAACAGCAAAGCGGAAATAAAGGGAACTTTAAAAAACTGATAGAAGGCATCTACAAAAATCTACAATTAGCAATATACTTAATGGTGAAAGATTGAAGGCTTCTTCTCTAATAAAAGAATAAAAAGGAGGTCTGCTCTCACTATTCCTATTTAGCGCATTACTGGAAGTACCAGGCAAGGCAATAAGGCAAGCAAAGGCAATGAGAGGCATTAATACTGTAAAGGAAGAATGAGATGGTCTTTACTTGTAGAAGACATGTTTGTCTATGTAAATACCAGGATAAGTCCAAATAGTTATGTTAAGCGCTGCCACCCTCCAAACAAATTCCCTAGCGCTGTTTCCCAGACTGAAAAAATTAAAAAGTAAGTAAGAACTTCACAGCCTTCTTTCTTAAATTCTCTTTTCTAATCATATTAGAAACTCACTGAGCACTTGGTGAGACCTTCAAGCTCGGAAGAGCAATTTTGTTTAAATGTACTTCTGTTTAAAATACAGAATATAAATTAAGGAAACCATTATGATACTGTAACAAACAACTTCAGAATCTCAGGAATTTATAGTTATTAAGCTGAATTAAACCAGGATTTCTTCTGTTCCATTTATTCATTAATTCTTGTATCAGTTCTATAACTATTGTAGATATTTGATGTGTATTAATATCGGACTATTCAATTTTCCCCTCATTACACCTGTGTATGATTTTAGAATCGGTTTTCAAGTTCCTCACTTTATCATAACCTAAAATTCTTAGGGGCTTGGGTAGAAATTGCATTAAAACTATCAATTAACTTTGGAAAAATAGTATCTTTCTGATATTCAATTTTCCTATTTAGAAGCTTGTTACACTTCTCCATGTATCTATCCTCTTTTAAAATTTTCAGTACAATTTTATATTTTTCTTAATATAGAATCTACATTTTCGTATAGAGCTTATTCCGAGGTAGAATATTTTTATGGATTTTTTATTGCTATCTGTCATATGTTAAGTTTATTGCTACTATACAGAATACTGATTTTGTACATTTATTTAAAAGTTGCCTTTTAATTGATCTCATTAATTCTACAAGTTTCTCAGATTAATTTTTATAAAAATACCATATAAAAATTATCACTGTATTTCTTCTCTCCAGATTATACTTCTCATGTGTTTCCCTCCTTCCCACAACAGTTAGAACCTAAAAAGTGGTGTTAGATAATAATTAATGGTATCAAACATCCATCCTATTCCCATTTTATGACGTTATCTTTCATTTCATTGATTATGATGGTAATGATTGGGTTGACATGATGTTAAAGGAATCTCCCTCTTAGTTTTTGTTAACTAAGAATTTTCGTCAGGAATTTTGATGGATATTGATGCCTTATTATCACTTACTAAAATTATTATATGGCTTTTTAATTTAACCCTGTCATGTTGCCATACTATTTTAAATAATCATTACTTTCCTAGAATAAATCCAATGTAGTTGTATTGAATTATACCCTGAAGTCCCACTGAATTTGATTTGCTCATATTTTACTTAGTATGTTCTCATATACAGTTACCACTGACAGCTGCTCAGGGTTTTCTGGAGGGTTATTTTCATTACAGCTTAGTTTCAAAGTTACATAAGCTTAATAATTGGATAGGTTTCTTTATTATTTCTTAAAGGTTTTAGTCTAATTATTTGATCAAAGGAAACATTTAATATTTTCAATTGCTTAGATGATGTTCCACTCAGGTTAATACATGTTCTTGGTAGATTCTGGTGATTTTCTTTTTTTTAAAGAAAAGTTTCAATATATCAAAACATTCAAATTTATTAGAAAATAAATGTAACATCTAATTTTTAAATCTCTCCATCTGCTGTCATCCAACTTCTAGTAATTCTTTATTTCTCAATTATATTTATTACTCATGCTTTCTTTTTATTAGTTTGTTAACATATTCATTAATTTTTTTCCCAAAAACTTGTCATCAGAAACAGAGGTCAGAATGAAGTGGAATGACATATTCAAAGCACTGAAAGAAGGAAACTATCAAGCAAGAATTCCACATAGAGCAAAACTATCATTCAAAAATAAATGCAAAATTAAGCCATTTTCAGATAAACAAAGATATATAACCTGATTTACATGAAATTCTAAAGGAAGTCCTACAGGTTGAAAGGAAATGATACTGACAGTAACTAAAGACCACAGGAGACATAAAGAACACCAGAAAAGGTAAGAATGTGGGGTGATAAACGTAAATATAATAAAAGACTGAATAAGTATTACTTTTTCTTTACTCTTTACTGTTTTCTCAACTTCTTTAAAAGACTTAGGTTGCATAAAGCAGTAATTAAAATTGTACTGCTGAGTTTAAAACATACATAGATTTAATGGGTATGGAAATAATAGCACAAAAGAAGAGGGAAGAAACGGAGTAGTACAGGAGCAACGTTCCTATGAAGTAAACTGTGAAAAGAAACATACTTTAACACTGAGAGCAACTACTAAGAAAGCAACTCAAAAAAATAGCAAAAGTTCAGTCAAGGGGTTAAAATAACAAATTGGACTACTATGCTAAATGAGACTCAATACATCCTCTTAATTTCAAAAAGTTTATGTTTAGACAAAAAAAAGTCAGTTCTGAAAATGCTCTGTTCTCCTTACTATTCTGGAGTCTCTGTACATGCCTAATCTCTGCCACTGAAAAATACCACCCAGGTTTTCCTTGAGATTGTAAATAAAACATTTGATTGAATTAACATATGATATATTCTTAGCCTATGTATCAGTATATATTGAGTTCTTTATACAAAATCATTTATACAAAATTTTGGTCCACCTATGAAAATAAAGACAAATTTAAAGACAAATTTTGGTCCACCTATGAAAAATACAAATGTTACTTATTAGTTCATATGTATTTCACATATTCACAATTCAAGATACCTGGGTATACTTTCTTATGTTATTTTAAGTTCATGATAATGGAAGACAACAAAACAGTCTGAATGATTAAGTTACTAAGGCTAATGTGGGATATATATTAATTACTCTGCCATTATGCGAAAAAGTTCATGATGGATACAAGTTATTGACCTTTAACTACTTTAGAAGGCACCCGGAGCTATACAGGCCTAACTGGGAGTATCAAATATAAACATCAGTTAAGCTCCTTAATGGAGTCAAGCTGCAGTGGGAAAAAGTAAAATGCAGCAAAATTTTATAGTTCGCAAAATTCAGCTTCTACAATTATTCACCAGTGCACCATATAGCCTAGAACTGGAAGAGGCTTGAGATGTACTAGTTAAGTACAGAAGAATACAGTCCGCAGAGATCCACACATTTACTTCCTATTCTTTTCAAGCATAAATCCATTGTGGGACTACATGATTTTAGTAGGATGCTCTTTCTTTCAAAGATGTTTCTTTATGTTAGGGAGGGAGGCCTGTTAATGGTAGCTTGAAAAAGTCAAAAAATTTCAAACAGAAAATGATAATACTTGTTTATAATGAAGTAGAAAATACTACTTTAATCATTAAAGACAAAACAGTAAGTTCACAGAAAATATCTGGCAAAATGTTCCCATTCACATAGATGTAGATGTAGTTTAGAAACGTGTGCGGAGAGTTTTGTTTAACATTCTCATGAAAGAGCTTGCTAAAATTCTCTGTCTTATAAGGTGGACGTCCAGTGAGACCAGCACATGCTCTGCTTTATACAGGGATGACACATCTATTTAAAGCTTTGCAAACTGGCTACCCTAGCATCACTATCACCACCATCTCCATCATCAACATGGAGTAGCTCCAGCTGAACTCAACAAACCTGAATCACGACAGTGATCGTTTTTCATAGACATAAAGGTTCTAGGTAGGGTGCAGGATTGAGTCTGCAGGCATTAAGTGAAGGAAAAGCACAGCCACCAATGGAAGAGTGGAAGTGAAGATGTAGCAATTTCATGTGGCTGTTTTTGTGCTTATGCTTTTCTAGATACTGAGACAGAAATGTCTTAGGAGAGGTGGAGAACAGTCAAGGGAAAGCACCTGTACTGCTCTTTCAATCTAGTGAAATAAAAGAGTGAGCTCAGTTATTTCCATTGCTATGCCCAAAGTGATCGTTTTTATTATTTATTTTAATAATCTGGAATAATGGGACATTTGAGCAATCAACAAAAGTATATTATATGGAAGGGAATAAAGAAAGACTCCCATCATCTCAGACTAAGAACAACCTAGGGGGTGTATCAAGACAGTTTATTTTTTAGTGGTAGAAGCATACCTAGTAAGCCACTGAATATACTGGAACAATCAAGTGTGCCTTCTCCTTCCATTAACCTTCTGTTAAACTAGTCAATAATAAGACTTTGTTAAGTTTCTACAGAAATATACACTTAGCCATATTTTTAACCAGTTATTGCAAATGAAAAGAACAGTCTAATATATATGAACTTGAGGGGTCAGTGTCAATATACCAGATGGGAAAGCTGAAATTCAGAGGATAAAATTTTAAGAATTTTGTTCAGAAGTCAGTGATGCAGAGGCTAAAATCAGAGCTTTGAGAACTGCAAAAAAAAAAAAAACCACAAAAAAAACTAGAGGCTGAGAGTAGTTGTCGATAAAATGTAACTTCTGCGTATAGCAAACAACTGGTAACGACCTGAAGTTGTACGATATTCCCTTTTGAGACCAGGAATGAGAGTAGGATGCATGCTATGACCACGGCAATTCAATGTTATACCAGAGATCTTAATGAAGGTGATAAGGTAAGAAAAATCTAAAATAAAAATTATGAGAAAAGCACTAATGATTGAAAAAGAAGAAATTAAAATATCACTATTCTCAATGACATGATTATTTTAACAGAAGATTAAAAAAATTCAGATAAAACTATTAGAATATATAAACTGAGCAAAGTTCCTGGATTTAACAGCAATAATCTTGTTTCCACTTACCAACAAAGAGAAAATAAACACATAAATACATAACATTTCTAGTGACATCAGACATATTAAATACTTAGAAATAAATTCTGTATCTATGCAGAAAATTAAACTTAAGAAAAATCAGACATATAGAGGGATATGCCATGTTCTTCATGACTTAGAAGACTTAATATTAGCAAGATATCAATTATCTCCAAATTCATCTTCAGATATAATGCAAATTCAAGGAAATCCCAACAACACGCCCTTTTAAAAGAATATATTAGTAGCTAATCTTAAAATATCTTCATGACTTTAGGGTAGGGAAAAAATTTCCTCAAAAGGGCAATAAAAACACCCTAATATTCAGAAAGGGAGATTGTTTTATAAATTTTACTACATAAAAATTTAAAACTTTTATTTACTAAAAAACATCATTAAGAAAGTAAAAACGTAAGCCAAGGAGTAGAGGAAAATATTTGCAGCACAGGGTTTCTATCTCCCCATCCATTCAGCTATTTATCTATATTTTTTTCATACACATGAAGAAAGAAAAAAGATCAAGAGGAAAATAGGCAGGAGGCTTAAAGACATTTCACCAAAGAGGCTAGCCAAATCCTTAAGAAATACATGAAAAAAGTGTTCACCATTACCAGTAATCACTCTTGTCAGAATTGCTAAAGCCACAATTGTATTGGTGAGGATATGATGCATTGAGAACTCATATACTCCTGGCAGAAATGTAAAATAGAACAACAACTTTGGGAAACGGCTTGGAAAAATCTAAAGTTGAACACACGCATAGTCTATGCTGCAGCAATTCCGCCTCTAGATATAAACACAACAAACTGCCCACACATACACCAAGATTCATGAACGTGAATGTTCCTAGCACACTATTTATAACAGCTAAGCCATCTAAATGTTCACCAACAGTGGAATGAATAATAAAATGGATGTAGTCATGCAATAGGATACTCTACAGTAATGAAAATGTACAACTTCAGTTACATTCAACTACATGGTGAATCTCACAAACAACATTGAGCAAAAGGAGCATAAGAATACATAATCTTACTTATGTAAAGTTTTTTAAAAGGGCACATTTACCAACCCTCCCTACCAAAAAAAATCCCAGAAAATAAATGTGTCAAAGATATGGGAAAATTGGAACCTTAATGCATTGCTGATGGGCAAGTAAAATACTGCTGTCACTATGGAAAACAATAGGTGGTGACACAAAAAATTAAACATAAAATTACCATATGATACAGCCATTCTACTTCTGGGTATATAACCCCAAAGACTGAAAGCATGGACTTCAACTGCTATTTGTAAACCCATGTTCATGGTAACATCATTCACAAGAGCCAAAAAGTAGAAGAAACCCGAGTGTCCATCAACAGAAAAATTAATTTAAACAAAATGTGGTAGGTATATATGCATAATGGAATCTTACATGGCCTTTAAAAGGAAAGAAATTCTGATGGATACTGTAATATGGATGAGCCTGAAGAAAATTATGCTAAGTGAAATAAGCCAGTCATAGAAAGACAAATATAATTCCACTTATTTGAGGTTCCTAGAATAGTTCAACTTATAGAGACAGAAAGTAGAATGGTAACTGCTGGGAGAAGAAAAAAAGAGAAGGATGGGGTTATTGCTTAACGGGTATAGAGGCTCAGACTGGGAAAGTGAAAATGTACCGGAAGTGGATAGTGGTGATGATTCTACAATAAAGTGAATTACTTAATGCCATTGAACTATACATTTAAAATGGATTAAAATAGCAAATTTTATGTTATGTATATTTTACCACAATCAAAGAAAACACATACCTGAACTGTGTGTTAGAAGTAAAGACAGTGGTTAATCTTCAGAGAGAAGGGAGGGAATACCGTTTGGAAGAGATCCTGGGGGTGCTTCAAAAGTGCTGGCAATCTTCTGTTCCTGGATGTTGGTTTTCAGTGGAGGTAAATGAATGTTGGCTTTACGGTAACTCACAAAGCATCACATTTAAGTTTTATGTCCTTTTCTGTTATATTTTACAATAAAATCTTCTAAAATAGCATATGTATATTACATGCATATTCACAGAAAACAAGATAGTTGAATCATACATCGTTACAACTTGTATTTTGCCAGCAATCTGTAGTGAAAGGGACTTGGGCTTTGGAGCCGACCATCAGCCTTGGACTTGAGTCCCAGCTGGGCCCTGTAAAAACTGTGTGACATTCAGCAAATTATCTTCTTTCAACCTATTTTCTTAACTTCATAATTAAGAATATGACAAGTGTTTTATACAAAGTTTTGAGAATTACAAGTGTATGTAAAAATGTACAGCATGTTGCCATTCAAGTAACAAGTGGTCTAAAAACATATGGGGCTCCATAGTCTTCCCTTTAGAAGACAAATTTCTTCACATTTTAAAATCTGTTTTCATTGGATTGTCAAGAATATTCTTGTGTGGAAACCAGCTCCAAAGAGTACAGATCAAATCGAAAACTGTTCCAAATTATGTTATTTGAGAGAAGTTGTAGTTATTTCATTCATTTTAATTGACAAAATTAAAAAACAAGCAGACTTGATTTATAATTTTGCTGTGATAGTATAAAGTTATATTTTTAAAATGTGAACAGACAATAAAGTCATGAAACAACAATTAGTAAAATATTTTAAAAGAGCTATTTATTAGAATAATGGAAGAGAAAATTTACCTTAGTAAATTTACCTTAAGTGGTAGCACTGCTACTACTTAACATTTTAAAGATTCCTTTTGTGTCCAGAGGACAGTGGGACAGTCTTTGATTTTCTATATACCATTTACAGAGGTTTAACTGTATATCACACAAATGCTTCCAGTTTTATCCAAATTTACTACTATATTACGTATGTAATTATTCCAGTAGAAATCATTACATCTTTTTATTATTAATTGTATTAACTGGTAGGGGTCTGGGTGCATTTAAATGAAGTTCTCAGAGTTGTTATTATGACAAGTAAAGGGAGTATTATTTTAAGGGGGAGGAGTGTATAATTAAAATAAAGGGCCATTAGGCTCACTTCAAGGCATACTTTTCAAAGAGTCCAATGGCAGCAAATTTTTATACATATTTCCATTAAAATGAAACTAATTTGGTTATATATTCCACCAATGAGAAGACTATGATGTGACAGCTGTTACTTCTAATCTTTGCCAACAAGAAAGTAGCTGTAAAAAGTTATGCATCTATGTACATAGACAGCAAAAATGGGATGGGAGAAGGGGAAAACTTATGGGGATGCTCAAAACAAATGTTTGAAGACTAATATGAGCATAAAATACTGTATGCAAATGGAAATTTCAAAATGCTTACATATCTTTTAATTGGAAGTGAAATCTTTGTCATTATATTATTATATACTTTACCTTCTAACTTACCACATAGTATTGCCTCCTGCTCTCAAATTTAATTCAGTTAAATAGGATCACAGATAAGACAGAATTTTTAGTATTTCAGTAAATTCTCAGTGTACAATTCTCATTCTTCTATTCCTTTTCTATCCCTTTCCTATATTACTATTGATTCTCCAAATAGATTCAAATCAAAATAAGTATTTATAGGGCTTCCTCTGTGCAAGTATCTATACCTAGAGTAAATCAGCTTGATGTCTCCCAAACCAAGAATTCCCAGTAGAATCTTAGGTATACAGAAGCTGTAGAAATATCAGTTTGTTCAGTTTCATACAGGCAGCCATGAAATGAGCCACAAATTAAGTTTTTATTAATTTCTAGTTGTCAAAGTCCACCCCACCCACCTACCCTACCCAGTTCCTTCAAAATAATTCTTCAATATCAAATTAAGGTCAACATAGAGTAGTAATCATAGTATTTTGGGGGAACTTACATCTAATCTAGCAGTATTGCGGCAGCATAGAGATTAAGAAGGAATGTGAATTAAAGTATGACTTTCTAAAGGATATAAATTGTGATTTCTATCTTCTTTTTGACATTCCAGTCTAGTTAGCCTAAATATTTACTCATATTTTTCCAAGGGGCAGAGAAGCAACTCAAAAAAAGTGAAAAAGATGACATACTTCACTCAGCTTATTTTTAATCAGAATTTGCTATGAAGGAAACCATTTAACTCAGGTACAGAACTTCATAAGGGACATTGTAAAGTCCTGTTATTTTAAAAACTGTTTCTGCCTTTTTCAATAATAAAACATTAAAAAAAAAAGATAAAGTGAGGCCATGAAAAAACAAGAACTTCATAATCAAACTGCTTTATAGTGTATGAAAATGTGGTTTGTAAGATTTTAATGAACAAGGATGTGTGATCAAATCCCACTTCAAACAATGTTACTGGGGTGTTTTACTTCTATTTTCAACTTGGGGTTCATTGTATTTGATACTGCTCGAGACATTTAGAAAATTAAACAGAGTTTGGATGTGATTTTTAATATATGAATTCTCGTTATAGTATCTACTGGGATATTTGGATGGCAGGTAAAAACTAATAAGAGAAAAGAACTATCTGACTCGCCTGAGCCTAAGGCTGTGAAGCTGCTGCTGGTGGGACAAGCTATGAGGGGCAAGGGCCTAAGAGCCTGCACAACTTACAATGGCACCAAGCTTAACTCTATTTCCTCAGCTCAATGAGCACCAATGTACTAGTCAATGTTTTAAAGCTAAGAAAATGAAACTGCAATGAGGCAAAAAAATAAATAAAAATAAAAGAATCACTGAGTTTTATATATTGACTTCCATTTGTACAAAAAGTAAAAATACAAGTTCCTGTAGGAGTTACAGAATAGATCTGGAAATGTCAGGTGTACTTCATGCTATGACATATAACTTCACTGAATTTCATTAAATTCTAATCCCTCACCCCAAAATACAATGCATATA